GCAAGTGTAACCTAGCCAGGGTAAGGCACTGTGTGTCCTCACAAAGTAGTCAGGACAGATCGCCACAGCTTCTAACTTCCCACTGATGCTGTCTATCCAGTAGACTAGTCATTTTCTGTTATTAACTAACATTTGCCAATATTTTGAGTTTGTGGTGTAGATTACTTTTAAAATACCATCAACCAAAAAAAAAAAAAAAAAAGACGAAGAAGAAGAAACTGGGAAAGCAGTCTTAACAAAGGCACAACAAAGAAGACTGACTGGTGCCTCTGTGCCAGCCCTCCTGCCGAGGAGGGGGCAGGGTGCCCATCTCCTCCCCACACAGAACCTGTTCACCAAGTCAGTTAAGGGTTAGGGCATCCAAAAGGGCAGGGAAAGACAGCAGTGCGCCTGAAGTACAGAGGAATCATTTTTTAATCAGCTGAAATCTGATAAAAATTTGTAATGAGTAGCTCTGAAGGCAAGAGTCATCAAAGAGTAGGTTAATCTTGGGTATGAGGAGTGGCAGACAGGGGAGGGAAGGGGTCAGGGCTGGATGGGGAGGTGTGCTTCTGACCGTGGCTCACGTTTTGGCTCCAAGCAGCTGAGCTACATACATGTCCTCTGACCCCCACAGCAGCCACTGTAGCTGGTGTTTATTGAGCGCCTACTGTGTATCTGGCAGCTAGGCAGTGCATTCACCTCCATTCCCCTTACTATACAAGGAAAATGACAGACCAGATGGAGGCGGTGAAAAGGTGAGAAACGGGAAGAGTCCCTAAGAACAGCAGAGAAATTAAGGGAGATCTATGGGCGTCAGAAGGAATACAACTGAGGCACAAAGCTCTCTGGAAAGGGGTGAATTTCAGGACCATGCGTCCAGCCCCCATCATCATTCCAGAACTGCCAGACTAACAAACCAGTCCAAAGTGACTCCAAGATAACAATGCAGCCCAGACTAGCGGGTAATAGCACCCTGGCTACACCTTCTTAGGTCCAGGCCTATCGGAGGGGCCTCAGGGGTCATGCCTTCCACAATTCCTTCTCAAAGTGAGAAGAGACTCGCCCAAGGTCACAGAGGCACACCGGGACAAGGTCCAGGTCTCCTGGCTCGCACTGCACTAAGCCGTCTCCTGGTCCTCTCTCCTGAGCCTCGTACATGGAGGCCCAGCCATTCCTACAAGGTGAAAGGAGTAGAAGGTCAAAGGTTAGTTGAGGGAAGGGGTCACTGTGGGGCCTGTGTGGGAAGGAGGAAGGGAGACTCGGGAGTTCGCATCTAAGAAAATGAAAGAATATCAGAGCAAAGATGCCAAAACACACGAAGGGAGGCAGAGGCCAGAGGAATTGCCAAAAGATGGTCTAACAGCAACAGGAGCATGTTCGCCCTCCCACCATGCCCAGGCCGAGCAACTGGGAGAAGCCCCTGTGACCTGTGACCGGCGAGTCACATGTCTGCACGTCCCAGCAGGCCGGGGGACCCAAGGCAGTGCAGCGGTGGATGCACCCCCATCCATCAGCACCACCAGAAACAGCCCCCAGAGCCCAGCCCGGAGTTCCAAGGACACAGCCACAGGCCCAAATCCCTCACCTACTGGACACCCCACCCGCTGGCTGTCATGGCAACAAAATGCCTAGCCATGCCCCCTGAGGAGACCTCCCCAGGGGTCCATCCGGCAGCCACTACCACCCCCAACCCCCAGGTGTCAAAGCAACTTCTACCCTCCTCCGGAGCTTAAGGGTCCCCAGCCTAGCAGAAGTCAGAGCAGGCACAGGGGAGATTTTTTTGGCTGGAGAGCAAGGCTAGAGGAGCAGGAAGGCTCTGGGATTTGAGGGCAGAGGTCACAACTTGTTTGAAGTGCCTATTAATTCTCTCCTCTCCTCCATTCCCCAGAAACCCTTTCTTCCAGCTCTGCCTTCTCACCAGTTTCAGGAGGACCCACCCTCCTGGGCCCCAGTGCCCCTCTCCAAGAAGTAGCTCTGTGTCTGGGATCGGGAAAAACAGGGTCAGAGGTGATCTGGAGTGGGCCGAAGAAAACCCAGTCACAAAGGCACGGCCTTCCCACTCCCATCCTGGCAAGCCTCGGGCTCTGCTTCTCAAAGATGGACCTCTTCCGCCCCGGTTCCCCAGGTTCGAGTCCCCTGCCTCCTCAGCTACAATCCCCCCTCTCCCCTCCTACCACACCCCTTTCCCTCGGGCTCAGGAACCCGGGTTCCAGAGCTCCCGCGCCCCACCTCGCTGCCATCCCTCCGATCCCTTCTGCCTTCGCCCCGAACCCCACTCGCAGCATCCCCGGGCCTCCCTCCGCCCAGCCTCCACCGCGGGGTCCCTCCTCTCTCGGTCCCCTGGCCCCGGCTGCCCTCTGGCCCCGTCAGACCTCCTCCTGGGACCCTCCCTCCTCCCCCGCCCTCCCGGCCCTCTGGGTGCTGGGCCCCCCATCCCTCCTCGGGCCCCCGGCCGCAGGCCTGGCAGGGCCCGCAGCGGGGGGACGGGATTGGGAAAATAACAAATGGAGGCGGCGGCGGCGGCGGGAGGGGGAACTGGGAGGGGTGGGGGCGGGGAGCCGCGGGCCCGGGCCGGGGCGGCTTCGGGCCCGGACCCGGGCGGCGGCAGCGCTTACCTGGTCGTAGCTCGGGACGGCTGGCTGGCTCCGAGCGGGATTCCAGGCTCCGACGCCTCCGGGGGGCGGCGGCGGCCGCTTCCCCCGCCCCCCTCTCCTCTTCCTGGCTTCAGTCGCCGCCGCGGCGGCGGCGGCGGCGGCCCCGACCCCCTCGGAGGGCGGCCCCCATCCCCCTCTCCACCCCCACCTGGCTCCGATCGCCCGCCGGCCCCGGGAGCAGACCGCGATCCCCGCTCTCGCGCTCCCCCCCAAGGCCCGCCGCTTCCCCGGCCGCCCGGAACGCCCCGGGCCGCGCTGCCCGCCCCCGCCGCGCCGCTCGCGCCCGCGCCCGCGCCCGGCCGGCCCTCCGCGCCGCTCCGAGCCGCCGCCGCCGCCCGCGCCGCCGCGCGCAGCCCGCACTCGCGCGGTCCGCGGCCCCCGCCCTTCCCGGGCGGTCGCTCCCTGGCCCCTTCCCAGCCCCTCCCCGAGGCCCGCGATGCCCCCTAAATGGGTCCCGGCCCGGCGCGGGGCTGCGGGCGGGCTGGGCGGTGCGTCCGGCGACTCGCACAGGAAAGCGGACGGCGGAGGGAGGGAGCTTGGGAGAGGGGGATGGGAGAAGGGAGGAAGAGGGATTATGAGGCTGCGGTGAAGTTCCGATGAGTCAGGGGCACATATGGAAACACCTAGGGAAGGGAGCAGCCAGCCAGGTTACAGTGCAGCGCAGGGGGGGCGGGGGCGGTCGGGCGGGGAGGCGCCGCGCGCCTTGGCCCAGGCCGAGCCCCAGGCCGAGGGGCCCGGGGCGCGCGCACTAGGGGGGAGCCCGCGGGCCTGGCGCGGGAGAGGGCTGGGCTGGAGCGACTATGGGCGCGAGGGCGGGCGTCGGGAAGGCTGGAGAAGTTTGGGGGCGACAGAGGTGAAGTGGGAGGAGTTGTGGGATGGGGAGTGAGACTGCGAAGAGGGGCCTGTGTGGGGTCAGTGAGGTGTGGTCGGGAGAGGCGAAAGCAGCGTGGGGCGAGGTCTGTGGGTTGTCATCAGAGAACGGGGTGCGGATGTAGGGTCATAAGGCGGGGAGATTTGAAAAGATGAAGACAGGAGGGTGGGGGTTTTGGAAGAATGGAATTTGGGGAGGGGTGATTGGTGCTGGGAAAGGAGTGAGGATATAGGATGTGGGGGTGATGGAGAGGCCAGTGCAGAGGGGAAAGCGCGAAGAACCCTAGGAAGGGAGGAAGGTGTGACCCGAGGGGTGGTCCAAGGGGGGACTGCACTTGGGCGGGTGAGGGCTTCCCGTAGAGCTGACGATGGTTACCTTTTGCAGATAGAATGGGGGAGAGGGGGTTCAAGAAGATTGGAAGGAATGGAAGGTTAGGAAAGGCCTTTGGTGGCAGAATGGAGGGCCGGTGGCTGCTGGGGGGCAGTGAGGGGCTGGGCCTTTCTGTGTAGTGGCGGCTCCCTGTGCCGAATCCCGTCACTAATAATACTTTAGGTCATAGGGAAGGGGTCATGTGGGGATTAGGCTCGATGCAGGCACAAATCTAAAGGTGCCCTGGTTCCCCAGTCCCAAGAGTTCTAGTGTGGAGACAGTCCCCACCAGGGACCTTTCCTTCTCCCTCCACTGCCCAGCAGCTCACGGTTAGCCTGCCAGGCCCTCCCGGTGCCATGAAGCCAGCCAGCACCCACCACCCAGTTCAGCATCAGTGCTTTCTGGGCTCCCTCCTTGCCCCACACCCAGCAGCAACATCCCCCAGGACAAAGGACACCAGAGACACGGGTGATTTTTGGCAGCTGGAATTGGGAAAGCTTGAGGAGGAGAGAGGCCGGCTGGGATACGAGAAGAGCTGGAGCTGGAGTCTGGACTGGGAACCTCCGGGCTCTGCAGTCTGGGGGTGGGGGAGGGTACTTGTGGGGCCCAGCTAGCTGGAGGCCAAGGGTGGGCCCTGAATTGGTGGGCTCCCACCTGCCTTCTAGAAGGAGGTTGGCAGTGTCATAACTCGGTAGATTTTACCTCCCAGTTCCTTGGGCCAGACTCAGCCAAATTCTAGGAGAACCTGAAAGTGCTAAACAGATTCCAGAGCGATGGGGAGCAGGAGGAGGAACAAGAAGCTTCCTTGGCCCAGGCATCACCACCCTGCGGTCCCTACCCTGGCAGGCCCTCCCTTCCCACCCCATGCACCCCTTCTTTGCCCCTCCTAGGGCCTTTTAGAGGGGGCTACCCTGTCTCCCTGAATGCTCTAGGGGCCCCTGCTCCTCCCAACCCTCAGCTTTGTGCCAAGACACCCCCACCTCCACCCCCCCCCGCCTTTCCTCTCCACTTCTCAGTTCAGCCTCCTACTGGGCCCTGGCCCAGGCTTTCCCAATCCTTTTGAGGCTCAGCTTTTTTCTCTCTCTTTTTTCTTCTCTTATACTAAACCACAAGGGAGTGGTTAACTTATCTGAGCCTAAGAGAAAATTTCAGACATAGGTAGGGATGAGGATGGGGAGAGTCGGACTAGCAGCCAGGTCCTAGCCCATTTCCTTGCCTATCTGAGGGCCAGGCTGACAATCCAGCTGCAGATGCACCCCCCCACACACACACACACCAGCCATCAACCCAGCCCCCCACAATCCGCTGGTCTCCAAGCAACAGCACAAAGAGAAAGTGGAGAGAGGGGCGCAGGAGGCCCAGGCAGAGCTGGCTGTAACCCAATCCAACCTAGTACCTGGGGGGGTGGGAGGGGAGCTGTCCCAGAAAGTGGCAGAGGGGAGAGAAAGAACCGAGGGCTAAGCTAGAACAGCTCTGGCCAATCCGGGAGTTACCGAGGAAAGATGGGTATCACCGGCCCCAGAGAAAATGGAGAGGCACAGAGGAAAATATGGTGAGCCCCCCCCCCCGCCCGAGAAAGGGGCAGGAGGAGGAACGGGAAATACGAGATGGCCCCCAGGGGAGTGGGGCAAGAAGCCCTTTGAACTCCAAGTGGTGGGGTGTGTGTGTGTGTGTGTCAGGGACAGAGGAAGGCAAACAGAGAAAGGGGTCCTGCCCAGACGGAGCTGGATGCCCTTGCAGCCCTAGAGCTGGCAGGAAGGCAGAGGGAGCCCAGGACCAGAGCGACAGAAATGAGGCCCGCAGCAGGGACAGCCTTCAAATCCCTCCCGCCCCTCCTCCAGCTTGGCGGCCTGTGTCCTGTAGAACCTCGACTCCCTCTAGTGGCCACAGCGCCCGGGTGTCCACCCTACCTGGTGGGATGTAGGGGTGCATCCAAGGTGCTGTGTGGGGACTGTCCCCCAACGTGGCCCCAGACGGAGCATCTCAGTGCTGAGGCTCTGCAAGAGCTGAAGGGTCACAGGAGGCCACTAGCGACATCGCCATGCCCCACCTGCCGAGTGACCCAGCCACGGGGCCTGCTGAGCACTGCAGGCCCTGCACCTCAGCTAAGCAGAGGGCAGGTTCCTCAGGCCCCTGTGAGCCTGCTACCATTCATCCCTCTCCACCTCCCCATCCTGCAGGGGGCGACATCCATGAAGTCCTGCTCCGACTCAGAACCAGCCAGGATTTGATGGGGAGAGGCCCAGAATACAGCTGTCCCAGTCCTCATCTTGACCCCTCCTTGGACCAAGGACCCTTTAGGAATCTGAAAAAAACACTTTCAACCCCTATTCACACCAACAGATACACAGTCTCTTGGAATTTACCTGGGTTCTCAGGCCAGGCTCACTGTTGAGGGCAGGGGCAACATGGACCCCACCTGGCCAGGGAGGGCCGGGCAGTGCCCCATGGTGGCCACACTGCTCTTCCTCTTCCTGCGCCCCCCCCTGCAGCTCTGCTCTCCAGGTACCCGTCGTCTCCCCTCATAAAGACCACAGTAACACTACTCAGACACAACAATGCACTGTGATTCAGACTTTAATGGCGGTGCTCATTTCAACGCCACGGAGGCGGTGGCAACTGTGGAACATGGCACGGGGAGTGGGACGGTGCTGTGGTGCAGCTGGAGGAGCGGGGAACCCAAGGCTGGGGAGAGGGTTACAGGGGACGAGTCCCCCAGGCACACAGCCCCCACTCTGGGCTGAGCCGGGCTTCCATGAGTGCACACAGAGGAACCAAGGGCAAGGCCCTCTTCTGTTACCCTTCCCATCCTAGCAAGACCTGCCACTCGGCTTGTCTAGGGACCACAGCCACGTGAAATACAGACGCAGTCCCCTCAAGTCAGGCCAGCTTTAGGCCCTTGGGTTAGGAGGAAATGATTAATTAACAGGATGAATGAAAAATAAATTAAATAAATACACTAAGGCCTTAGGCAGGCATGACCACACAGCCAGCCCCACCCTGCACCTGGGCACTGTGCACCGTTCATGGCTCACATGCAACCTGGAAACACGGAGGGGAGCGAAGCACAAGCAGTGACACGCGGGCCTCCAACGCCCACACACCAACTCGGATGCTCTGTCACATGCTCTTCTCTGTCCCGTGGGCCCCCTCACAATCTTTCCTAGTCCCAGTTTTTGAAGAAAGAGAGCATGGAAAGGAAGGGAAGTGGAGAGTGTGGAGCTGCAAAGAGCAGGCCCAGAGAGAAGAGCAGAGGGGGCAGGGGGCCGGGCAGCCAAGGAGCAGCTGGAGCGGGCAAGTTAGGGGAGTGCTGGGCCCCGGGGCAAGGGGGCGAAGGATCACGGATCAGAACAGCAAGAAGAGGTTCTCGGAGGGCAGGCCAGAGGGTCTGAGACAGGCAGGCGGCGGGATCACAGCACACTGGGGTTGCGGAAATTGTGTCCGGCGAAGCGGGCTTCATCCCCCAGCTCTTCTTCGATTCTGAGAGGCAAGCCAGAAAGGAAGGAGTCCGGCTGCAGCTTCCCTCTCTGGGAGCCACCAGCCTCCACCTGCGCTAGAGTCCTGCCCCACCAGCAAGCAGTCCCAGCTTCCCCACGTGACCCTGGAGAGCCACCAAGCAGAACCTCAGGAAACCCAGCAGGCAAAAACAAGTGCTTTCTGGACACCTACTCTTAACAGGCCCTCATGTGAGAGATGGGATATTGGCAACCAGGGCTTTGAACCCCCAGGCCATGGGCTCCCATTCCCCAGGTACCCTCACCTCATGAGCTGGTTGTACTTAGCCAGACGCTCAGAACGGCACGGGGCACCAGTCTTGATCTGAAATGATCCAGAAGATATAGGCAGCTTGGGACCTGCCCCTTCACCCCCTGAAAGGAAACTTCTACTCTCTTGAAACTCCCGACACCCTCCAACACCTCAAGGAGGGAGCCACGTCAGCCTAGAACTCCTCAGTCCCCATAGCCCTCCCTTCACTCACCAGGCAGCCCCCACTCACCTGGCCTGTGCACAGCCCGACCACCAGGTCAGCAATGAAGGTGTCCTCGGTCTCTCCCGAGCGATGACTCACCATGACCCCCCAGCCATTCTCCTGGGCCAGCTTGCACCTGCATCCACACACCAAAACTGATGGCCCAGCCTCTCACACTGGGCACTCTTCCCAGCCCCAACAGGGCTACATCAAGAAATATAGGAGGGAAGCTCTCTGCGTGGGGAGCAGAGCGGAGACCTGGGAGGCCAACACCAGGTCCCCTGCTCTCCAGTGTCCCTGGGCAGGGTCAGGCTGGGAGCCTAATTATTAGAGGGGTCCTGTAGAAATGCATGCCAGTGCTGGGAGTCACTCACGCTTGGATGGCTTCAGTGACTGAGCCAATCTGGTTGACCTTGAGCAGTAGACAGTTGCAGGCCTTTTCCTCCACTGCCCGCTCAATACGCTTTGGGTTGGTCACCGTCAGATCATCACCCACAATCTGGATCCCTACATTGGCTGTGAACTTGGACCAGGCAGCCCAATCATCCTGGTCAAATGGGTCCTCAATGGAGACCACTGTGGAGGGAGCAGCAAGGGGACTGTTTATCCTCTCTGGGTCTCCGTACCAGGCAGATCTCTGAGCTATGACTAAGCTGGCTCATTGTTCCACTTCCAAAGTAAGCCTGCCCTCACTGATTCTCACCTGATGGTTTCAGGGAACTTGCCAGTAACACGGCTTCAGAGTCTTCCTCGCAACCTAACTGCATTTTCCTATCCTCACTGCCAGGAAGCCCTTCCTCACTCCTGGTCTCAGTCCTTCATTCTGCAATTCGTTTCTGTTTCCTCTTGTGCTGCCTCCGTCCTGGGGTAAAAGCCTCAGGTAGACTTGGAGAGGATAATTCGGTTCCTCCTTAGTCTTTTCTATTCACACACCAGTCCCAACTCCATTCAGCATCACAATTTCACCCACGCTAGGGACATGTGCTAATTTCCTGCTAGGTTCTTTCATCTCCTCACCAACCACGGCTCCTTCCACAACCCTCCCCCAGATCCCAGAAGCTTCCAGAGCCCATGACTTTGATCTGGATCTGAAGCATATGGAACAGATTGATCCAATTCATACTATAGACAAGGGGTCATCCAAGTCCATGAAAAATACATATGGAGAAAACTGCATGATTTCAAAACTTTTTGTACCAAAATAAACTTTTAACTCCACTTTCCCACAACCTTTTAAAAGCACCCTTGCACAAAAGCCCAGTATTTGTAGGAGGTGCCCTTACCCCACCCCTAGTCCTGGGGTTCTTTGGACACCTCCACCTGGCACCTGAGTCTACACCTTATAACGCCCAGAGTTGTCCCAATATGTTGGCCCAGCCCCTCCCCCTGCTCTCTCACCCACATCCCTCGCTCTTACCAGGATAGTCCCTGACAAAGTCCTGATACAGGGTCCCCAGCTGGTCCCCGGTGATGTATCGGGAAGGATCAGCAGGAGACTTGAAGTCCAGGTCATATTTGCCATCACGATAAAACTCTGAGGCAGCAACATCCATGCCAATGACAATCTTTTCTGTGTAGCCAGCCTTGTCGATGGCTTCCTTTACCAACTCTAAGGCTGCGGGTGGAACAGAAGGGTTCATCAAGGAGGGAGGTGGGGAGAAAGGACTCAAGCAGACATGGGCTGGGGGTGTGGGGCTAAGGTTGCTGCAGTTGTCCCCACGCCTGGGAGGAGCTGTCTGCTGGGGAAGTAGAGGAATGGGATTTGGTTAATAGTGACTGGTTTTTACTGGATCATGTCACCTGAGCTCTTTACACACATGATCTCATTTTACCTCCACAATGATGCTAGGAGGTAGACACCATTATTATTCCTGTCTTTCAGATAGGAAAAATTAAGCACAGAGAAGTAAGAAAGATCACCAGACAGTCATTCTTCAAGTCCACCTTCAAATCCATCCAGCCAACTTGGCCTCAGAGCCTTAACCCTAACACTAGCTATACTGTCTCTCTTCACGATACAATTTCTTCCAGGTCACAGGAAAATTAGGGATCCTGGCGGCCTAAGGATGAGGGTGGGGAGGAGACAGACTTGGAATGGAGTTCCTGGAGCATGGTATAGCTCATCAAAGTTAGGCTCCTATGGAGTTAAAGGGTGAGATGAACCTCACAGCTCACCTAGATCATCTCCCAGAATTCCCAGGGGCTTCCGTGAGAACTTACAGGGTAAAGATTGTCCTCAGGTCTCTGTGTGAATTTAGCAGGCCCTCTGCAGCCCAGCCCACAGCTGGCACCTGTTGGAGTTTTCGGAAGTTCCCGGACCCTCCACTCACACTGCTCGGGCTTTGGTGGAGCATGCACCCCTCCTATTGTCCCAGGGTAGAGCTGGGAGTGGGGTTCCTGTCCTTACCTTCACTGTTCTCCAGGATATTGGGGGCAAAGCCACCCTCATCCCCCACATTGGTGGCATCCTTGCCGTATTTGTCCTTGATGACCCCCTTGAGTGTGTGGTAGACTTCCGCCCCAAGACGCATGGCATCCCGAAAGCTCTCGGCACCCACGGGGAGGATCATGAACTCCTGCATGGCCAGCTTGTTCCCGGCATGAGAGCCGCCGTTGATCACGTTGAAGGCCTGGGGAGCCACAGAAGAGTCCAAGAGCCCGTTCCTCCCTGCAGCTGAGATCCTTCACCCAAGATCCCGAATTCCCCTGCACCTCACTTTCCTCCCATCATTCCAAGGCTTCAGGCTCCTTTCCACCGCCTTATCTCGCCCACCTCCCTGACACACACCAGCACAGGCATGGCCCAGGCAGTGCTCACCGGCACCGGCAGGATGAGGTCTGAGTTCCCAGCCAGCTGAGCAATGTGGCGATACAGGGGCAACTCCCTCTCGGCAGCCCCTGCCTTGCACACAGCCAGGGACACACCCAGGATGGCATTGGCACCAAACTTGGCTAGGAGATTACAGAGGAAGGCACTGAGCAAAACTGTCCCCTTTCCCTTCCAGTCCCGCCTCCCCCTACACTTCCCCAGAAACAGCTCAGAAAGGGGACTCCCCCCCCCCCAGTCCCAGCAACAGCTCCATTTTCTCCAGCAATCAGCAGCAGTGTCATGAGCTGATGGGGAAAAGACAGAGATCCACCCTTTCCTAAACATCCCACGACCACAAAGGGCCTCACAGCAACCCTCCTCTGTATGCGACCTTCTCCATCTCCCTCCCACTGTATGGGTTTGGGGAGGCCCATGGAAGAAATCCTCTGATAGCGGTTCAGAGGAAGCCCCGCCCCCAGCACTGGCTCCCTCCTTTCCCCATCTGCTCTCCACTGCAGCCTTGCCCACTTGCCCCACGGCTCCACTTACATTTGTTCTCAGTCCCATCCAACTCCAGCATCAGGTTGTCCAGTTTCTCTTGCTCCACCACAGAGAGACCCTGCGGGCAGAGCCAGGACAGAGGGCCCCCCATTCACACACAGCGGGCTCACAGCTGGCCAAGGCTCCAGCCAGGTCCCTATGCGAGCAGCCTGCCTGGATTAGGGGACATGAGCTCCTTTGGGAGCAGGGACAGTAAGGGGTTCTTCCCCTCCCTAACCCAGTGACCACGATTCCTAAGAGG